CATCCGGAGCATAACCAGGATCAGCAGGAGCAGGGGCGTACCCACCATCGGGCGCATAACCAGGATCAGCAGGGGCGTAACCAGCATCCGGAGCATAACCAGGATCAGCAGGGGCGTAACCAGCATCCGGAGCATAACCAGGATCAGCGACGTAGCCTGCAGGTTTACCAACTAGGTACTTCTTGCCCCTGCATTGTTCACCTTTGGCCTTCTCAATAATGTACTCATTGTCGCAGCAGTCCTGTACCTTCCTGTTGTACACATGTTTATAGCCACAGCATCCCTCAGTCATAGTGTTGTACACATTCTTGCCACATCTGTGCGAGAAAAAAATCGTACTTCATTTACCGGGGATATCCATCTGTTACAGTAAAGTATTTAACAAAAGAAATATATTAGTTAAGGTTTGACTAAGAAAGGAATGGATCAGTACAATCTAAACACTAAAGATAAATTTTCATGTGCACAAACAAAAAAAATTGCAAATTTCTTACTTTCCAGCGTAGATGGCTGGGTTGGTATAAACAGGCTTTTTGGTGTAAGCAGGTGCCGGAGCATAGCCAGGGTCAGCAGCGGGGTAAGGAGCATCCTTAGCATATCCAGGACCAGCAGCGGGGTAAGGAGCGTCCTTAGCATAACCAGGACCAGCAGCGGGGTAAGGAGCATCCTTAGCATATCCAGGACCAGCAGCGGCGTAGGGAGCGTCCTTAGCATAGTCCGGATCAGCGGCGTAATTAGCACCACCCAAACCAGCGTATACAGGGAATTTCACACCAGTGGATGCTTTACCTTTGGCGTATCGGCTGGCTCTTGAGTACCCACCTATTGTTAGAAAGTTGGATGTTGCACTGTCAAGAGCAAGGGCTGTTAAGATAGCCAGCACTGTGATCACTTGCATCGAACCCATGTTTACGAGAGTCGCTGATTGTCAACTCTGAGCGGACCACCCCAATTTCGCACCTCCTATATACGGCCTGTCGGTCTCATTAAGTTTTATCAATTTTCCCTTTGACCCCCGTGAACAATGGGATATTTTGACTCGTTCCTTGTGAATTGTGAAAATATCCACTTTCCAGTCAGCGTTGATGTTATCGGGTTTAGATTCCCTTGGTGGGTGTGGATGATGAAAAAAATGTCTGTGTTTCAATTTGCTAATATCTTTTTTACAGATTGAAAGAATATTTTGGTGACGTGCATAGTAGGTTTCAATGCTGAAATTTTTAGATAAAAGGGGAGAAGCAGTTGCTTTATACAGCTTATGTCCACATATTTTAATGAATGATGTATAGGTATGAGAGTTCATTTTTAGGATATGTTTATGAGATACTTAGAGACGTTATAAAGTTGTGTAAACGTGCTTCAAGCGGTGTGAAAGAGCGTGGAAGCCCGCGAACGATTTTCTCTGAAGAGAACCGTCCGAGAATTTCTTAAGGGAAAGTCATAATAGCTGAAAACAAGTTTTACACATTGGCAAAGTTTTCATAGTTTTAACTTTATCCAGGATTATTTTATCTATTTTTTTCACATCTCTTATTGCTTGTTGAGCTTTACAATGTTCACTAAAATGTTAAAATTGATATTTTAATCATATCTGTCATGAAGATGCTTGTCTCCGTACAAAATTTGACAAGTTTTTTATTACAATGCTGTGATTTCGTATCGTACCTTCTTTTTGACTCTGCACTTTGTCCCTAGCTGATTTTTATTTTCTCCTGATTTAAAAAAAGCATTAAGATAAGCCACATTGCATGTTAACCTACTTGACAAAAAGTCTTTTCATTCTTATCTTCCAGTATTAAGTGCAAAAAAACATACACACACGAGAGGTGTGACTTCTGTAATGATGAACTTGGTTAAAGTGATTTAGATAACGCCGAGACCTTTAATTAACATAGTGCAGACTCTTTCCTCAAGATCAATCTATCGTCTATTGTTAAAAATTTCAAGTCTCGCTCCTGATGAGACATCGGTATTGGAATTTAACAAAGCTACGTGTAGCGTACAAACGGAATTTGCCAGTTTCTTACCCTCTCTTGAAAAATCTCGATTTATAGTTTCTCATACGAGTCCCGATAGGGTGTTGAATCAGAAACCACTGCTGGAGTCTCTAAGGGAATCATTATGAGTCCAAATTTGTAGCTTTTTGCCTTTACTTACAACGATGAGTATCTTCAACGTAAGCTGCTACTATAAATTTATATTTTTTTCAAGTTTCCGACAGCAATATTATTTGTCACCCGTTTCTAAAACACTTTTTGTCCGTAAAGATAAAATAATCTCCATGATATTAGGTAAATGTAACAAGACAAGGCTTTTTAAGAACCACTGCCTGTAGCACGTTTCAAAATAGCTGACTTACATGTAATACAGTGGCGGAATGAGGCCGTCTTCTGGGTCTTCCGAAAGACGGTCAGACTTTCAAGTTTACATTGCCTGATATATATTTTTTTCCGTCGGAGGACGGTCAAAAATGGAGGATGGATCAACAGAGATAATTTGGAAGACTGCCAGAAAGTATATCTGGTTCCTGGATCCGCCCCTGGTGTACGTGGTTGGTGTAAGGTGTTACATAATGTATTTGAACCACCTCTACCTTTGTATTTTTTTCCTCGTATAAAGTGAGGGGGGGGGGGGGTAAATGTTTGGAAACGCAGGACAGAAACACGTGTGTAGTCATCGATCTTTGCAAATGTCGGGAATAAACGACCAAAAACCATGCTACTAACAGACGAGGTAAATCAATATATAATTTGGAGCTCTATTTCATACCTTCATGAAACTCCAGATGGATTAGAGTTGGGGAATGATTTTCCCTCTTTTTACTCTACAGACAGGGCACCTGAACTTTAAGCTTTAAAAATCAGTCCACGTACCTGTATACTTTGAATATGTGTATGCACTGTGCATCAGCACAGTAAATGATGGACATTGTTCATGTACTTATTTACATCATATATGTAAGAGGATAAAGATGGCTGACGGGGCGGAGTACGTGGCTGGCTGAGCTGTGGAAATTTGCCATCGGATCAAGGGATGCACGAAGGGAAAAAAGTACGGGGTAAGTAACAACACTGTGATGACACCTTGCATCGATGGAGAAGCTTGATTCTCGATATAATGTGGGAAAAGGCGGCTTTTGGACTTTTTAACATCGATGACATTAGTTGCATATTCTGAATACTGTTCATAAACTCAGGCGAACACATTGTAATACTGATCGAGCTAGCCTAATAGCCCTGTTAACCGAAATTGCAATAGCCATCTTGCTACCTCATTAGTCATTACGAACGTTGTCCAACTGTTTAAATATGAGTGAAACCAGTGAGGCGAACGATCAAGAGGTAAACGCCCATTTTGTGAACTTTTCAACCCTAGTGGCGAAGAGTCGCGTCTCATCATGAACGAATTATCAGAAATCAGAACTGAGCTTAAGTAAACAATAAAAACGAAAATATGACCGCGGACATTACAGAACAAGAATGTCTTTTCTTTGTTAAACAAATGCCTAACGGTAAAGAATTGATGGATTCACTGCTGAATTCTATAAGGTATTTTGGTCGAACACCATTTACTGTGTTCGTTTCGATATTCGTATTAAATGCAAAGCATGTCCACATCGCGAAAGCAAGGCTTGATAACATGTCTACCTAAGGGAGAGAAGAAGAAAGAATAATTAAGCAACTGGAGACCTAAATGTTTACTAAACATCGGTTATAAAATTGCGTCCGCGTGTATTGCAAACAAAATAAAACCACTTCTCAATAGAATGATAAGTAAAACGCAGTTGGGATTTCTTAATGGCCGATATTTTGGGGAGTGCACCCGTATGGTGAATGATTTAATTGAAAAAAGACCGAGAAAGAAAACATATCGGGAGTTTTACTACTATTAGACATGGAAAAGACTTCGATTCGTTGGAATGGGGTTTCATAAAAAAAACACTTCACTTTTATAATTTTGGGGAAGAAATGGTAGGATGGTTAAAAACAGTACATGAGGATATTACAGTTCAATTCAAAACAATGATCACTTATCTACATTCTTTGACATCAGAAACTTCCTGTCATTGCTCTGAGTGAAAATCTTAACTAATTTTGTGAGGCAAGCCCTTGGATAAAACAAGGCTTTTTGGTTTTACTATTATTAATGACTCTAGCAAAAGCCCTCGTCATGTGCCTGGTTCCGCTTTCCACGGGCTGATAATCCTGTTTTAATGAACGATGTGCCACTAAGGGAGGGTGCCATTACTCTCTATCAGTGGTCAGCTGGATGACAAGGTCATTTCTGTACCAAAACTCTCCCTTGGTCATAGCACAGAATTGTGTGCAGAATTAGTCAGAGAATTATCTGTTAATATCTGGTGAGCTGGATGACGAAGCCATTTTTGTGCCGGAATTTTTGCTGGTCACAGCACAGAAATGCGTGCAGAACTGGTCAGGGAATTATCTGTGAAAATCCGGTGAAAAAATCTCTTTGGTCCAGGTAGCGGATAAGGTAACGTGAATCTGCCCACTTTTGAAATGTTAGATAATATACTGTCAGCCATACATGAACCCATAGTCATATTTTTGCAAGAAGTTGGGAGTTTGTTTGACATACATACCAAGAGAGTGTACTCGTATATCACCGAAAACAACCCCTCAAACAGAATAAAGCGTATATCACCTCGGCCACATAGCATTTCTAGGTATGTATTTAGTTGCCATGGACAAACTGAGGTGTTGTTTGTAAGTAGGCAATCTCTTGATTCTGATATGTTGAAAAGAAGAGGCTAAAAAGGTTTCAAATGTGGCAGAATAATAAACAAGTCGTTTATGAAATCTGGCCCTTTTTACCACAATGGCAGTATTCACTCGTAACAAGGTGTTTTTAACCTATTGCGTAAGTCGTTCCCATATTGTAAATTATGATAATAAACAACGACAATAATAGATGTAAGTATTTATATTCATTCGATTTATATAAAAATATATCGTGACTGCTGCCTGAGCTCCTATTTCATTACGAAAAAGGGAAATAATAGAAAAGAAAAGATTTACTAAGGAAAATAAAGAAGCACAAAAAAAAAAAAAAAAAAGAAAGAAAGAAAGAAAGAAAGAAATACAAACCCCATGCTACATTTAAAAATCTTAAGGGCACCTACTTTTGGATGTTTTTGGTTCAAAAATGGCATTTTATTTTATTGGTGATCTTTTTATCTTTTATTTTAACCTCGGCCCCTAGGACATCGCTGGTCGTTTTTTGTCTTTTTTATTGCCTAGTTTCCTTTTCAAGCCCAGTTCTGATGCTTGTCCATACCAGAGGAATATAAGATTTCGAGGAACACTTTCAAGAAGTAAGATATTCAATTACTGCCGTGAACCGTAAGTTGCATGAGAAAAACGCTCTGCGGCAAACGCATTCCAGTTACATTTTCCTGTTAATATGTCAAGTAAGCGGACAGTAATGCACGAACAGTTGCGTGCACGTTCAAGCATATATCATGCCAAATTGCTGTTTACATCTTTTCAAATTTACCACGCAAACAAATCAATCAACTGAGTATTTAGAAGTTTATTTTTCAGCAGTGTGTCCTTGTAAAACTCATCTAAACAGCTGCACCCTCACAAGTAAACCTTCGGCTTTTTTGTGCAAATAGCCCCCTCATACAAAGTTAAGACTGGTGCGTTTTACTGGCAATAATTAAAAGACGTTTCTATAAGGTTTGTCTGATCTTTTTACTGACTGAAATTAATTGAAAGAAATGCAACAACATGATAATGTTCTGTAATGCTGGACATTTTGTTATAGTGTATACATCTACGTTTGTAGATGAAAATGTAAAATAGAAATGTAATAACAAATAAGTATGCTATTAACCAATGATATACTGTGACTATTCCTAACATGATTAATCCCCAAGTTACTCTTACTTCTCGATTGCCAGAAGATGCAGCTGTCATCTGGATCTCTCCGACCAAAGGCATACTAAGCTAATGCAGTCAGGGTTTCTTTTTCTTAGCATTTCATAATAATGGCAAACTTTTAATCCATTGTTATTTGGCCGAAGTTTATATAGCGATATGTCAATGCCTGGCACAATGTGGTTTGCAGGTCGTTGTAGAGGGGGGGGGGGGGGGGGGGCACGTTGCGAGAAAGTGTCATATGATGCCTGCTTCAGTCTTGAAATAGTACGTACTTCCTCTTACTAACTTCACCCAACGAGAAAGTTGACGTTTTTCCGTAATATTAGGGCAAAAGAGGATTCAAAAGTGAAATCAACAGAAAGAAATTAGCTAATAAGTAAACAGTGTTTCTGCCTTACTCTTGTGGGTGTTGCGCACTTGTGAGATATTCGCCCCACAGAAGTGCGCGTGACAATAAGGACACTTTCACGCATTTTATCCCAGCGAACGATACTGCTGCCCTCTACTACGCTTTCCAGTTGGCTTTTTTTTTCTCAACAGACACGTTATTTTTCATAAGACAAGATCAGTGATTTTATTTCAGCCAGGAGTTGCTCTCTGTCCATTATATGTAGTACATCAAATATAGTGCCTAAACATTAATATAAATAACGTAAACCCATAATAAATACGCTTTATCAACACTAGTGGGGTTCAAAAAAACTTAATTTCATATTCTATTCTGTAGAATATTTATAAGTACTCACAGCAGTCCCAAATTACTGAAATGTATACCGTGGTCAAGAATTCTCTTTAGACAAAATAGTAACACCAGAAGTATTCAAACAAAATTTAATATGACAGCCTCAATATCTGCATATATACTTTTGGAAAATACGGTCGAGTTGCATTTGGGGTCTTTATTCGTTTCTTATCCTTCTTCTTTATTTTTTCGTTTCGATTAATTGTCTATCTTTCTATGTATTTAAAAATCTGCCAGTTGCTCGTTCTCTTGGCAACACCAGTTAAACACAAATTGCAACTTCCCCCACATGCATTGAGTTAATTACATAAATGACTTTTATAAGAATCATTTCCAAAGTCATTAGGTATGGCATGCTCTTACTGGTCTATTTTATAATGAAATGTTCACAGTTCATGTGCTTTAGTATACACGACGATTTTACCTGACAAATATCATTGACAAATTGCGTGCATTCCCTTCTAGGAGGTGACAAGGGTCTTATTGGGAGTGAGAAACAAAATGGGTGAAAAGAAGTGGTTGGCAACATGCTGATAAGATGAAAGCAGGCACGACGACCTTAAGTCGTGCTAGATGCTAGATGTGCTTGGCACCCAACGACAATTTATTTTACCAATCTAAAACACTCTTATTTTACTTATTTTTTCCTAGCTTGGTGGAATATCATATCTGTTCCACAACAGATGAAAAATATAAAAAATACACAATAATAGAGACTCATGTGCACTCTTGAAATAGGTAAGGCCAAAGAGAAGTGAAAATAAGTTTAACAAAGAGAGGGGGGAGGGCGTGTAATGTAATGCATTGCAGCATGGTTCCAATTCAACAAGATTAAGTACTGAATGTCCAACATATGTCTAATTAACTACATTGACAGCCAGGGTTATATCTCACTTGTCAATCACCAAGTAATGCACTTTTTCAGTGTCGTATAATCACTGTGAGCTTTGTATTGTGAATTTTGTTGATCCGAAATCGATAATGAAAAATAGAAGATTACACGCCATTGAGTTTAGGCAGTCGGATCATTGCCTTCCTGCATTAAATGCCCCAAAATCACGATAAAATTTCGTACGAGAGTTTAAGATTAAACAGGCAGGCTTTTCTCCAGTTGTTCCCCTATCCCATTAAATGGTAAAAATATCCCATTTCTTTGAAAGCATATTTATTACAGTCCAATATTTGGTGTTTACCAACACGACAATATGACTTTGCTCCAATGTTGAGTAAACACAAACCAAAACCTAAATAATGATTTACTGAGTTTTAATTTAATACCTAAAGCGCATGCAAACCTTATACCATAATTTCACTCGTGACCATATAAAATGACCTCCGCCAAGGCGGTTATGTTTTTTTTTCCCTTGGTTTGTTAGTTTTAACTAAAACAGCCTAACTCAAAACGTTTAGGACGGATTCTGATAACATTTTCACGATATGCCAGAAATGGCCTAAATTAGAATTGATTTGCTTTTGGAGTTGATCCATTATTTAATTAATTGATTGGTTAATTAATTAATTAATTAGATTAATAATAATGTTACTAACTGAGGTGCCTTGACGGAGGTCGACTGCGCTGTTCGAGTTCACTGCCACCTAGCATTATATCTGTAACATTTCAATTAAGTATTTTTTTTTTTTGTTTTGTTTTGATAGAAACAAGATACTTCCCATTAAAACAAAAAATAAGTGCTTACTCCAAAATACAAGATACTTATGAGAAGCAGATTATTAAACATAGATTACTAGTTCACTAGGTGCGTGTATGTGATTAGTAAATGATATAAAGTTACCGTATGAGGTTTTTCCAAAAACATATAAGTAATGATACACGAATTTGACGTACACAAACATATCTTAATTTCTCAATGTTATTTTTATTACAATGCTGTGCTCGTTTGAAAGATTTGCTGTTTTAATTATTGCCAACCGATAAAATGTTGTTACAAACAAGTATATATATTTATAGGTATATACTTATTGTAAATGGTCAAAGTAATGCTCATATCCCTGATACGCCTCAAGTGCATTTATTAACAAAGTATATAAGAATAGCTCGATGCTAACGATTTTGTGTTCTAATTTGTTTGCCACACTACTGCCTTCCGTTAAGCAACGAAAGTAACGTTACTGATACGGGTATCCCCTGACTTGGTTCCTGGCCTGCTGTCCACCACCGCTGTTCATCTTGTTAGACCTCATTACGTAGGAAGGGACAGTTATCCCATTCGTTGAGGCACCGTTGTTGTTTCCCACTTGTTTCTTTTGGGAGTTGTTCCCAGAGTTACCACTGGAGTATCCAGGCGTATTGGAGTCGTAACCAGGAGTAGTTGGGCCATACGACGGACCATTTCCGTTCCCAGAATTGCCGTAAGACGAGGACATACCATTTCCAGAGTTCATTGGTTTGTACCCATTAGAAGTTGGGGGGTAGGATGGGCCATTTCCATTCCCAGAGTTGCGCCCATTTGACATTTTCTTCATCATTGAATCACCATTGGTGCCGTATCCAGTCATTTTGGGTGGATAACTATTGGGAGCTTTGTTTTGACCGTTAGACGAGGACATACCATTTCCAGAGTTCATTGGTTTGTAACCATTAGAATTTGGGGGATACGATGGACCATTTCCATTCCCAGAGTTACCCCCATTTGACATCTTCATCATTGAATCACCATTGGTGCCGTATCCAGTCATTTTGGGTTTATAACTGTTAGGAGCTTTGTTTTGGCCGTTCGACGAGGACATACCATTTCCAGAGTTCATGGGTTTGTAACCATTTGAATTTGGGGGATAGGATGGACCATTTCCGTTCACAGAGTTGCGCCCATTCGACATCTTCATCATTGAATCACCATTAGTGCTGTATCCAGTCATTTTGGGTGGATAACTATTAGAGGCTTTGTTTTGGCCGTTAGACGATGGCATACCATTTCCAGAGTTCATTGGTTTGTAACCATTAGAATTTGGGGGATACGATGGACCATTTCCATTCCCAGAGTTGCGCCCATTCGACATCTTCATCATTGAATCACCATTGGTGCCGTATCCAGTCATTTTGGGTGGATAACCATTAGAGGCTTTGTTTTGGTCGTTAGACGAGGACATACCATTTCCAGAGTTCATTGGTTGGTACCCATTAGAATTTGGGGGGTAGGATAGACCATTTCCATTCCCAGAGTTGAGCCCATTTAACATCTTCTTCATCATTGAATCACCATTGGTGCCGTATCCAGTCATTTGTGGTTTATAACTATTAGGGGCTTTGTTTTGGCCGTTAGACGAGGTCATACCATTTCCAGAGTTCATTGATTTGTGCCCATTAGAATTTGGGGGATAGGATGGACCATTTCCATTCCCAGAGTTGCGCCCATTGGACATCTTCATCATTGAATCACCATTGGTGCCATATCCAGTCATTTTGGGTTTATAACTATTAGGGGCTTTGTTTTGGCCGTTCGACGATGACATACCATTTCCAGAGTTACTTGATTTGTGCCCATTAGAATTTGGGGGGTAGGATGGACCATTTCCATTCCCAGAGTTGCGCCCATTCGACATCTTCATCATTGAATCACCATTGGTGCCATATCCAGTCATTTTGGGTTTATAACTATTAGGGGCTTTGTTTTGGCCGTTCGACGATGACATACCATTTCCAGAGTTACTTGATTTGTGCCCATTAGAATTTGGGGGGTAGGATAGACCATTTCCATTCCCAGAGTTGCGCCCATTCGACATCTTCATCATTGAATCACCATTGGTGCCATATCCAGTCATTTTGGGTTTATAACTATTAGGGGCTTTGTTTTGGCCGTTCGACGATGACATACCATTTCCAGAGTTACTTGATTTGTGCCCATTAGAATTTGGGGGGTAGGATGGACCATTTCCATTCCCAGAGTTGCGCCCATTCGACATCTTCATCATTGAATCACCATTGGTGCCATATCCAGTCATTTTGGGTTTATAACTATTAGGGGCTTTGTTTTGGCCGTTCGACGATGACATACCATTTCCAGAGTTACTTGATTTGTGCCCATTAGAATTTGGGGGGTAGGATAGACCATTTCCATTCCCAGAGTTGCGCCCATTCGACATCTTCATCATTGAATCACCATTGGTGCCATATCCAGTCATTTTGGGTTTATAACTATTAGGGGCTTTGTTTTGGCCGTTCGACGATGACATACCATTTCCAGAGTTACTTGATTTGTGCCCATTAGAATTTGGGGGGTAGGATAGACCATTTCCATTCCCAGAGTTGCGCCCATTCGACATCTTCATCATTGAATCACCATTGGTGCCATATCCAGTCATTTTGGGTTTATAACTATTGGGGGCTTTGTTTTGGCCGTTAGACGATGACATACCATTTCCAGAGTTCATTGATTTGTGCCCATTAGAATTTGGAGGATAGGACAGACCATTTCCATTCCCAGAATTGCGCCCATTTGACATCTTCATCATTGAATCACCATTGGTGCCGTATCCAGTCATCATTGAATTGCCAGCGGTGCTGTATCCCTTTAATTTAGGTATGTAACCATACAATGTTTTAGGCTTACCGTTATTGTTAGCGGTTTTAGATTGACCGTTAGACGATGACATCCCATTTCCAGAGGGCATGGGCTTGTTCCCATTAGAATTTGGGGGGTACGAAGGACCATTGCCATTCCCAGAGTTGCGCCCATTTGACATCTTCATCATTGAATCACCATTTGTGCCGTATCCAGTCATCTTGGGTTTGTTACCATTCATTATTTTAGGCTGATAGTAACTTGGAGTCATTGAATCGTAGCCCTCAGTTGTTGGGCCGTATGTCATGGAATCGTAGCCACTAGTTGTTGGACCGTTATATACATTACTGTCATACCCAGTTGACTTCATTTGGGAATCCTCGTATCCAATCATTTTTGGTTTACCGTTCGACGAGGAACTGCCATAGCTTGGAGTGGTGGAATCATACCCATTAGTAGGTGGTTGGTAGTAGTTATTGTTGCCTTGTTGGGTCTGCCTTTGTGTATCGTAAGAAGATGGCGGGTAGCCATATCGTAGTCCACGTTCGCCTAGGCATTGCTTCGGCTTTGTGACGATATAGACGTTGTTGCAGCAATCTTGGGTGGAAAGTGTGTAAACCTTTTCATTGCAGCATCCCTCTAAACTAGTGTCATACTGGCCATCGCCACAACTGGAATGAAGAATATTAAGGGGGAGTCAATAAAATTATGAAAATGCAACTGTTCTAATTTTCTATTTAAATATAATAAACCTTCCTAACGTCCAGCAACGTCCAGTATTTTTTTTTTTTTTTTTGGGGGGGGGGGGGGGG